TGTTACCCGCGGATCAGAGGTCCGCCGCGACAGCCAATGCCGGGCCGTAAACCACCCGAACCTCACAAATACAATTGGCAACCGATTTACCCGTTGGACGGGAAGTACACTATTATGCCCCTCAAGATCCGCAAACTCGGCGGTCGAGACCCTGAGACGGGCAAAGTGATCGTCAAGACAGTGGGCGGCGGCAACAAGAAGTACTTCCGATGGATCGACTACACGAAGACCGCCAACGAAGACGGCTCGCCCCGCGAGGAGCGCGTCTTCAATGTCCGCTACGACCCGTTGAGGACATCGAAGTTGGCTCTCGTGGCCGGAGGTAATGACTGTCGCGGCGGTGATGTCCGCCGGTATAGTGTGTGGACTAACAGTTGTTTATTTGTTTTATATGTCACGCGATTGTATTGAATGGGATTTTGGGAACCGATAGGCGATACGATTCGGTGGATAATAGCGTCCGAAACGATGCAAATCGGAGACATAATCCGGACGTATTCAGAGATACCGCGCAATCCGGTGCGTCCGCGTGAGGGCGACTCGCATCCGATCGGAGCGCTTCCCATCGGCACCAAAGTGCACAACATTGAGAAGAAGGTGGGAGAGGGCGGCTATTATGTCCGATACGCCGGCGATTACGCGGAGATTACCCGAAGAGTTGGCCGCAAGAATTATCTGCACTTAACCCGCAATAAGATCGACATCTGTATCGATCAACAGTGTATGGTTACCGTCGGCCGCGTCTCCAACCCATACCATCACACCGTCAACCGGTTGTGTCCGCAACGGAGCCGATGGTTGGGTCGTCGGCCGCGTTCGGGTGCGTGGCATCGGAAGGACGGCTACTGTGGCCGTAAGATACGGCCGCCTAAACCCGTCAGAGACTATGTCGCCGGAGAGCCCGACGCTAAAGAGAAAGAGCCAGAGATCTATGTCATACAACCCTATAGTTAAAACAAAAATAGCTGTTTTTTCAATTTAATTCATATTAATAAATAACTTTTCAATAGTTTTATTGATTCTGTTTGTCAATTACATGCAAAGTTATTATAACCAATTTGTTTTGACTTATATTCTGGAAAATGTACTCAATTTATTGATGTAATGAAAAACATTGTAAATAACGACAATTCGTTTTTACACTTTACAGTATACTAATTCATAGTCCATTTAAACAGAACAGAATTAATTGTGTTCTCAGTATAACATTTAAATCTCATCTAATTATTATTATTTTAAAATAATAGCCATTAGTTTTGCGATAGTCTCAAAATACCTTAAATTATCGTTCATTTTTGGTTTTATAAAGTTTAATTTATAGTATTTATATGGTTTATTATTTGAAATACAGGTAATAAGTAAAATGTGAACACCTAATTAATTGATTACTATGATAAATTTGCCTCAATTATTATTCTCCAGCATCTATTGCCTAATATATTATTCAAATGTCTTCCAAAACTTATGCAACAAAAGTAATAATTAACTGTTTGTTAGATTCGCAAACAAATGGCATCTCAAAAATAGTTGAATAGCATTACAACAACATTAATGACTCCCTAAGAGGTTATAAATTTATTTCTTGTTTAATATTAATTAAGCGCAAAACTTATTTTATTTTATGATACTCTATGTGAATTTTAATGACAATTTATGTGAGTATTTGTAACCAAATATATTGTAGTTTTTTGTGTGGCAATCAATCTGTGATTTTCCTGTATTTCTATCGGTAATTAATTTCAATCGGAAAAACAAAATAATTATAAGCCTTTGAATGTCAAAACATATGAACCGATAACAACAAAAGCAATGAAATGGGATTAAAGTCAAAACAATAGAAATATCACAAAACGAAAGACTTTTTTATTAATAGTTTTGTTCGACAAAAATGTGAAATAATTTATAATTGAGAGGCTTTTTGTCGGCCAAACAGTTGACATGAATTTGAAGAATTCAATACATTTTATGATCTCATCTTTTCTTTGCCCCGACTGTCCAGTGAGTGACCAAACGAAATGAATTGATGAGATAGTGTCACAAAAACCATATTAATAATAGTTATCATTATTAGGAATCCATCGATAAATCATATGTTATTTTTTTGTGTTATATATACTCTTTCAATGTGTAAGCCATGGGAACAGTGGCTTTGGTTCGCATTCTTATTAACCGTTACTTCCTATAAATGACAGCGAAATACAGAAAATCATAAGTAATTCGTTTGAATAAAGAGAAGCAAAATATCATTTATTAAACATTTTGTTAAGACATCGCATAAATAGGCAAATATTCTGTGCATTTTCAGTAGATTTTGATATAAATTTATTATATGTTTTGTATGTTTAAAAATAGAAATGAATGTAAAAAACAAAGGTATTATGAAAACATATAACTGTTATTAAAGCAGATTTATTATCAAATACTCTTATACTTTAGCATTTGATTCCTCTATTTTCACTGTAAAACTCTGTTATTTTGCAATCTTTTGCATTTAGAGAACAGATTTGAGTTTCAAATGCAATGAATACTCGGGTATTATTTGTGTTGCAAAAAGTATATGAAATGAATATATTGTGCGCTCCTCTGAGAGGAAACAAATCTTTTCGCCTGATTTATAATACATGGCATTCAGTTATATAAGTCTTTTGGCTCAACACAACTCTAGCCCAATAACTATAATGTATTTGAAGTATCATTTTTCCGGCCTTTCTCTCTCTCTCTCTCTCTCTCTCTTACTTTATTTCTTTCTCTCTCGGTTCGCATCTCTGAACAGCAAATCATATGTTTAATCGTTATTCACAATTTGTTTAATGTTTTATTAGTACTGTACAGTCAAACAGAATAAATATTATATAAAAATATAACAAATACTTTACTAATTTTACATTTTATAGAATTGCTCATCAAAATAATACCTTTTTAATGAGGTTAAGTAGTCTTTAATAAGCCCTACTTCTCTCTCTTCACCTCTCTCTCTCTCTCTCTCCCTCTCCACCTCTCTCTCTCTCTCTCTCTCTCTCTCTCTCTCTCNACAGTGAAAATAGAGGAATCAAATGCTAAAGTATAAGAGTATTTGATAATATATCTGCTTTAATAACAGTTATATGTTTTCATAATACCTTTGTTTTTTACATGCATTTCTATAAATGAAATATTTTCTCTTAAATAATAGGAAGAAAAGAATCGACAATTTTTTCATTTGCTTTTTGTTTTTAGCAATAAATTTCTAAATAAATCCCATTCGTGAAGATTAGTATAGCTTTCATTGTAAATCTTAACAGAGAGAGAGAGAGAGAGAGAGAGAGAGAGAGAGAGAGAACTAAAAGAAATGAAATATTATATAAATTCATTTTGTTGTTGAATACAGTGTAGAGACATAAGAACTATAAGTTATACACAATAATAACAACAACCAGAATAAAAGTTACACAAAATAAATAAAGTAATAGTAAAATACGGCCTCACTTTTCGTACTGTTTCCAAGAGACAACTCTCCATCCCTTTCTCCCCTATAATGCCATCCCTTTTATTATAAATTATATTACATTAGAGTTTTTAGTTTTTGTCTACGATATGATAAAAAGCAATTCATTGCACAAATATATTATAAGTTTTAATATTTTTATACAATTTTTTTTGTATATATCTATATTTCAATTGCCTTCATATTCAGTATATTTTTGTTGCTTTTTTGAACCAAATATCAAATTCACGGAATATTCTGTTTGCATATATAATAGCGTATAATAAGTTAGAAATGAATTCTTTGACAGTGTTTGTAGTGTTTGATACAACATTGATATGAATAATATATTTATGAAAATATCGCATTCGTCACGTATTTTAGTTCATAAACGCAATGTTTTTGTTTGTTTTTATTAAATTCAAACTCGCATTAAATGATAAACACTATTCGCATGCAATTTAAGTCCAAATAGGCTTCAAAATGTATGTTTGTTTTTATTTATTTATTTCGTTATATATTATACGCTATTTTGCATTAAATTGATTCTGTTTTTTAGTGGATTCCTTTCAATGTTGATGTAAAACATTTTCAATACATGTTTAAATTTTTATATATTCTCTGTCAGTATCTTTGAGTCCAAAATGTTTTACAATAAGTGAACAAAATATTATTCATATGATATACATTTAAAGTAGTTTTCCGTCTCATTTAGATAGCAATCTATGTATTCATTCAATTCGCTTAATATTATACGAATATTCAGTCACTTGTTGTATAAATTGTTGTATTCCTTCATGTATTCAACAAAATATTATTTTTTCTCAAATGCCATATATTTCTGTAATGAATGTTTTTAACAAAATTAAAATCGAAAAACTTATTGATAAAATTGGAAAAATCTAAACTTTTCATAAAAATGAAAAATTTGCTCAAATTACTTATTTATAAATGAAGCAAAATATTTATCTCATAATTATTTGATGGCATATATAGAGCCAGAAATAAAGCTTGCGTTTATATACCGCATAACTTTGTATATAAAACCTGTATATAATACTAGTTGTAATTGATATAATGGTGATCACAAAAGTCTGTATTCACTGTTTTTTTAATTATTGAATTTAGGTCTTAAAGCATAAAACCTAAAGTAAACGCGTTATCGTCTCCTTTAATGAAAATGCAAATCATATATTGTTTATATTAAGAATATTACAACCGTTTCGCGCCAATGATTTAACTTTCATTAATACTATAATATGATAGTATGATAGAGAAACATGATTGCATTAATTTATTATATCTAGATTCTCGGACAATATTACATTTGGTTTTTATTTTTCTAGTTTAAGTTAGTGTTCAAACATTGACACAAAACTATTATTAATAAAGAGTGCTTTTGATAAGTGAGACTCATATTAGAGACTAAAAGTTTCTGTAAACAAAACCTGGAAAATTATATGAGAGTTTCCATCCGTACCACTCATTTCATAATATTCTCATCACATTTTAGGCTTTATTTATTCCGATAACACTTTCAGTGCAAATATTATCATTCTTCCAGTACTGTCCACAATATGTGTATTTTTTTGTTATGACATAAGAATATTTGCATTTAAATAACATATCATTTAATGATCTTTCGTCTGAATTTCAAATTTCTATTCACTTTAATATTTTTTATTCTTTCGTTAAAATAATGTCAAAAACTGAGTCTGTTTTCACTGAATTTGATTAATATTTTATAGACTTATATTACAGTCAACATTGAAGTTATGCTAAATTTGAGAGAGAGAGAGAGAGAGAGAGAGAGAGGAGAGAGAGAGAGTTATCTAAATTCAATAAACTATTATCAATGACTGTGATGGACATGTCTTAAATCGGATGCTATTGTCGACAATTTCATTGTATAAACTATAATATATCTGAGAGAGAGAGAGAGAGAGAGAGAGAGAGTTATCTAAATTCAATAAACTATTATCAATGACTGTGATGGACATGTCTTAAATCGGATGCTATTGTCGACAATTTCATTGTATAAACTATAATATATCTTGTTTTGAAAAATATTCTTTCATTTAAATGGTAAAAGAACTGATTTATACACACAATATATTCACTAGTTTTCATTTTCATATCATATAATATTATGCTATAAGTTTTTACAATAGATTTTAATACCGCATAAATTGTAGTCCATAAAAAAGAGAGTATAGTATATATACTATAAGTGTTTTTAAAATTCTGTTCAAATATCTCGCAGAATATTGTGAGCCAAACAACTATTGTTGTGAACCAAAAAGGATGAGCTTTATTATGAAATATAATAACAAAACCTACATATGATTTGATGCCAAAATAACTTCTCATAAAACTTCATCTCATGATCGGGTGTTTTGAGAGAGAGAGAGAGAGAGAGAGAGAGAGTTATCTAAATTCAATAAACTATTATCAATGACTGTGATGGACATGTCTTAAATCGGATGCT